GATCAACGGAATGATCAAAAGAAGGTTGTGCAAAGTGTAGATCTGAGTCTGAATGAACACATGCAGGCCAGACTTTTCAAATTTGTAATACTAAAGCATTTTTTATTTTTCGTCAACTTTACAGTTATGAACTACTCTTTGTTCCTCTGTCTCACAAAATCCCAATAATATACTTTGAGGCTTGTAGGTGAAAAGCGCCAAAACATGAAAAGTTCAAGGGGTGTGAACGTTTTTGCAAGGCACTGTATATTCAAAACTCTTACAATTTAAACTCCTGTGAGAAGACTTACTGCCATCACCATAATCAGCTCTACTCGGGGTTTAGTTATGACCAATTAATGAACCACATTCTTGTGGGAATTATAACACACTGAGGAACTTGAAGTTTTAATTAGGAGGCACCTTGTTGGATTCAAGTTAATGCCTTCATCGTACTGAAAACATGGCAAATTAATCCCCAATTAATACTACAGGCAGATTTAGTTATGAAACAGCTTTCCACATAACAGGGTTAAAAAATCCCCTAAGTTCTTACAGTAATCTTATTTTGGGAGCAAAATACAACATTTTGCTAAAGAGAAGCTGAACTACCTCCTAGCTTTTACTTATTTTTCTTAATAAGAATAGAAGACGAGATTAATAATCTTCTACCCCAAGGCTAGCATCCCCTTTACCAGTTGCATTAATCAGAAGTTATTTTAAAGTGGTGTAAAGAAGCAAAGTGCATTTAACCAAGTAAAACCAATTATTTTCAATATCTATTTTCACTGTAAGCACAATTGTATAAAAAGACATATGTACTGCCACAATAAAAAAGGGAAAAGACACTTATATTGAGGTTGTGAAACTAAGCGTCCTGCAGTTTTTAAACCCGTGTTGCATAATTAGGAAACTCAGCTTTTCAAAATTTTAACAAAAACTGGTTTATTCTGAACTTAGAGCACTGGTCCTTGTCTTTTGACATCCACCAGAAAAAATGTCCCAAAGCCTTAAAGTAAATACTTGTTTTATTGCAGCAGTATAATCTCCCACTAAAAAAAAAAACAAAAAAAAACTCAATCTGCCAATACACTTATTTGGTGAGAAGAAAAAATGCACAACCTCCAAGTGAATCATACACAACAACAGCAACGACGAGCTACATTTTTGTAATTAATTTTATGACACAAAATCTCTATGCTGTTCACCATTCTTGCTCTCTTGCATTTACCACAAACCTCATTCGGCAAGGCTTTATGCGTGTGCCCTAGTCTATGCTTAGCTCCACCTACAGGCCTGGGGGAGTAAAAAAACAAAAACGTAAAAATATTGTTTTGTTCTGTTCTTTCTGTGGGAATGAAAACATTTCTGGAAAAGGTCCCCTGTGGTTGCAGGTGTTTTCAAAACCGACAACCTCTTTAAGAGAAAATATTCTTGTGAGTTCAGGAATGTCAGTTAGTACTTTCCTTAAAACCTTGCTGTAGCAGGTAAATCTATTATAAAATACTATTTAGACATTCAGTATTAAATACAAGAAAAAATACTTATATTGCTTTAAAACGTTACAATTCATGACTGCTTTTTGTGTGCTGTGTTTTTTTTAATGCCTATGCGAAATTTACTTTATTCCCTCTCAGTAATGGCCGCAACATCTAATATACCAATCATGGCACATGAAAATTCAAACTGGACCCTTAAAAAAGTATGTTTTTAATTCAAACTAACCAATATACATTGTCATTTTAAAAAAAAAAATCAAGTATTTTTTGCAACTTTCTCTTTTGGGTTAAATTGCTCTAAACATGGATTCTTGTTCCGCTTCATACAAACAGGCAAGTAGACATGAATCATCACCCCAGTCATCTATGTTTCATGACTGCCTGCTCCTGACAGTAGAGAGAATTAAGAGCTTCTCACCTTCCTCACTGTGTCTTCTGCTCTCCGAAAGTACAAACACGGCATCTTGTGAGAAAACAAAACATCTTTTGTCTATCTAACTGTTTTCGCCCACTTTCCACGGGTGCTGTGTATAATTAATATCTCAGCAGTGCCCGAGGTTGTCATTTTTCAAATGGTTTCCCTGGAAATGTTCTACACCTCTTAATGGCCCTGCTAATGCTGTAGCTGTCATGTCTTGGACAGCTGCACTTTCAGAAGACAAACTCAGCTGTGCCACAAGCTTCTCTGCGGACTTACTTACTCGCTGGCTTAGAGGCCCGTCTTGCCAGCTGGTGATAGTGCACACAACATTTGATTAATCGGTGCCTTGTGTGCATGAGTGGCGAGTCACCTTCCAGTCTGCTGAATATTTTAGCACTTGTTTGTGTGGGAATGTCCATCAAACAACTGGCCACAAATTCAAACACAAATTTATTGCTTGGCTTGGTAATGATTTGTGAAAATGACAGAAAAATACATTTATGTTTGATAGAAGCAGCATAATTTTTAATACGAAAACTTTTGTTGAGTTTCAGGGGGAAAAGAAAACCATGTAAATAGATTTTTGTTTTATTTGTCTGGTGACTGGAGCTATGAAAATAGGTTTATTTGGTGTCTGCTGAACCATTTATGTGTTGATTTGGCGCTACATTTTGGATATGGACTTACATTTTATTCTGCTACAAACCAAGGATGAACCGTTTTCAGATTTTTGGCAAAACTCTGCAAATGTTCCACTAAAATACCTTGGTATTTCAGAGATAATGATCCAGAAATTCAAGATTTCCAGAAACAGACTCACAGCATCAGTTTCTCCACTTAACTCAACAGCAGGCATGTCAATATAATCCCGCGTTTAATATTAAACTGATTTTGAAAAAAGAAATAAAGCTAAAACCATCTAATTGCCATCTCATCTGACTTAAACAGATAGATTTTGGCAAACTTTATCTGTATAGTTCTTCCTAGATTATTTGAGTATTTATTTACATGTCTTTGCTAAGGACGACAATTGAACAAAGGGCATTTGCTTGGTTTGAAAATAAATCATGGCTATGTATAGATTTAATATATACATATGTCTAAACGAGCTGTATGTTATTTTCATGTTTTTATTCTCTAATGTGATTTAAGCTTGTATTTACATTCCTTTTGTTGCAGCAGACTGACTTCAGGATTATTGCAAGTTAACACACAAGATCCTTTGGTGGTTTGTTGAGCCGGAGGGCTGAGAAAATCTGCAGTTCAAAGTATAGTTGTTAGAACTAATATTTCAACCAAACTTCCTCAGTTGTAGATCAAAGCGTTTTTGGAATAAAATTAAAACCCTGAGAGCAGTTTGTCCACCCTTGAAGCGATCACAAGATAAAGTGGAGATGTCACAAGATAATCAAGTTTCGACAGAGGGTGAAAAAAAAAAAGCAATATTTTTTTCAAATGCTTACAGAGATCATGTGGAGCCTTAAAAATTAATTTGAAAAAAGAAAAGGAATGAAGAATCATATCTTAGCTTTCATATAGTTAGAAAGTAATATGAATTGACAAAAGGATTGATTATGAACAATTAATTTCTGTTTTGTCTGTCATCTTATGGCTCCTTTGCCTTACACAGCAAGGTTAGGACCTGAATACTTTAAATCCAGAAATGATTACCTGAGACTACGGCTGTTTTGGTGAACAGTTTATGCATAGACAATGTGCAACAACAAAAATAAACTTAAATGGTGTTGCGGCCTAAATGAGCTTGCTTCTTTTACATTTATGTGTACACAGACTACATATCCTGCATGCTCCTTGTTGATTGGTAAAAATACGTAAAAAGTATTTAAGTAAATGCATTCTTTTTTCTTTTTTTTTTTTTTTTGCAGTATCATAATCTGACAGTGAAAAAAAGTCCAACCTTTAGCTTAAATATATTACGTTTTTTTCAATGGAGGGAAAAAAAATAGTGTTTTTTTGTGATAAATCATAAATGTGATTATTTGTGTCTTACCTCTAACAATTCATACAAAGTAAAATTAACAGAAAATTTATTTTAAGTGAAAATAAAATTATTATAATTATGAATAAAAATTAACAATCCATCACTTTCTTTGTTCCTACTGTATAAATATAATGGAGAGGACCTGCCATTCAAGTAAGGTAAATGTGAAATGTCACTTTTGCTGGTACCAGAGTTTGATATGTGATGAAAAAAGGCATAAATTAGGAGAAGAAAGTTCATTTGTGCACATTTAATACTTTTCACTCATTCTGTCTCTTACTCTGATATTCCTCTCTCTTATAGCAGCCATTACAGCTATATGTATATGACCAAATATGTAACTTATGTTAAAACATTACTTAGTGACTTCTAGGAATTTGGGACAGTCAAAGGCTACTTTTCTTACCCCTTCGTCTTTGTGTCCTTCCCTGTTTCATGTCCTTCCTTCCTGATTGAAAGCTGGTTGTAAAACCTAATTCTTATAGTTTACTGTAACACATTCAGAGCTAGACACTCCAAAAAGTCCTGCAGTGTGCATCTTTCTTTTCATTTCATTTTTATTTGAAACCAAAAGCATATTGTCATCCAAACAATGACAGGAAATGCCTCCGTTTTTGCCCTCTAATTAAACAGGATAAAAATGGACAAAAAAAGGTGTTTTTAAAACCCATTAGCTTTCCTTTGAGCTTTCTTCTTCACATGCAACACCCCCTGAAAACAGGCCAATTTAACATCCCTTCAGCACAAAGCATAAAACAGATCTACTGAAGTCCAAATCTGCCAGTAATGATAAGTAAAACCACCATGATGTGTGATATAATCACTGGGTAAGCATACGAGCTGCTGTTTTTCTCTTTTCTAACACTATCTCTTTCTTCCTCTGCTGAAAGCAGATAGTGTTGACTGTGAGATGGCTATCATAATTCATGGGAGTTCAGACGGAGTTCAGGACAAACACTTCACATGCTTGTTACTTGTTAATAAAATGACAGAAGACAGATAAAGCCCCTGTTTTTTGGACATGTGGATCATGTGTGTGGGGGTATGTGTGATCAGCGCTCAGATGGTGGAAATAAAGAAGTCATTGTAGCAGCCAGGCTTCACTTGAGGTCAGAGGACCATGTAATAGTGTTAATCTTGAATCAAGAAGTGTGAGGTCACAGGACATAAGATACCGAAACACAAAAACAAGTTAAAGTAGAGGACACTAACTGTTACAGCCTTGAAAAACCGTGGCTTTTTATGTCTGTATCTCTGTCTGAAGCGAAGCATGCAGGTGGCCCTTCAGCCCCCCGCTTTCCAGCAGCTTAGACCTGGCTGTTTGATGAGGGCTTATCCCTCAGCTGACATATTATCATTGGACAGGCCTCTGGCTGAGAAAAAAGAACGAGCGACGCATGGGATTAGCCTCCGCACTCGTGCTAATGCAGTCAAACTGTCAGAGGGATCAAAGCCGCTCGCTTCAGATTAAGACCAATTAAAGCAGGTGGCCCTGCACAAATTAATAGCTGGAGCACTCACCTGTTAAAAGGAGGAAAAGCACTGAGGGGCTTTGTTCTTTCGGATGAAGTGAGAACGTGTCCAGCTTTCCTCTTGCCAGTGATGCGTTTCGGCAGGCAGTCAGCAAACACAATCACTTGTTTCATGGTGCTGAGAAAAAAAACAAAGCATGTGCTTAATTCTTCCACATGAACTCAAGCCTCCCGAAGTGAGTGGCCGTGTGCTTGATGCGAGCCAGACAGTTGTGACTGATGCTTTTAGTAGTTAGCTTTAAGATAAATGGCAATGCTTCATTTCAGTCCTTGCAAAACCATTTATACTCTGAACATGTTTACATTTTGTTGCATTGCATAACATTAAAATATACATGGTTCTCAACATGTTTGCCTCTTGTGTTCAGAAATGCTTTCCATCCAATCTCACTGACTTTTTGATACTGGTAAAAAAAAAAGCTGTAACAGATCTTCCCAAAAGACAATTTACAGTAAAAGAAAAGTGAGGGGAGCGAATACAAATGCACTCTAGAGACTATTTTGTTGTTAAAACATTTTAAAACTATGACGTCTCAAGTCAAAAAGTTCAAGAGGTAGAGGTACATTTGCATAGGATTGTATTAGACAACAACTTGGTCTTTTTCAGTGCTCTACACTCTAAGACCTAGAAGGTTTTCAAATGACCCAACAGAGCTAAACAGCAAGAGTCTCTTATTTCAAAATTATAAGACTGCTTCATCCAATTTAGAAAAGGGTTTTTCCTGTCTGAGACTGTTTTGGAGAGCGGGTTAACAGTCTTACAGAAATGTGAACATCTGAGTCTGAGGCATCTGAACCACAGCTGGTCAGATAGCCTGTGGGGTCATCTGAGGGCCAACGGAGGCTCTGCTGATCAAGGCCTCTCCTCTCGACAGGGGGATGAATGATGACTGCAGAGTAAATGCCAAAACTATAAATTTCATCCCACACTGAGCCAAAGCTCCTCCAGAGTTTATTTACATTTTGACATAGCATCTACTCTCGAGCGTCAATGTCGAAGGATCTCTCAGGATGGGGTGAATTAGTGATGCCAGTGCACGCGCTCTAAAGCACACATAGTCCGGGAAAGTTAATTTTGCTCCGACATGTCGGCCGTGCGCGGCACTGCTGAGAGGACTGAAAGAATCTTTCATTAACTTGTCTTTTCTAGTTACGCTCCCTGAATCTTGCTTTTGACTCGATCCAGCAGTGCTGAGCAGATCCAGTCGCAGCGTGTAAACTGCTCCTCAAACGCCGCTTTGTCCCATTAATTACTAACATTAATGAGAACGTGGGGGGAAAAAAAGGGGAAAAGAAAGTCTAAAGAATCTGAGACCAGTCGCATTTTTATATGTGGAAACTAAATAAATAACCTAAGCACCCCTGTGGCTAACTTTCCAATGGGCTTCGTAAGAGAGGCCTGTTTGATGTGGATGCCTAGAGTCGACTGTGTTTGGACAGTCATGAGGTGGGGCTGCCAGGCTTTTAACTGCTCCAGAGAACACAACCCACCACAGAGTGGCTCATAGGAGTCCCTCTGTCCTGAGGCTGGACACAAACTATCAACGGAGAGAATGAAAAAGAGAGAGAGAGAGCCAGACAGAGACCCACACTGGGATTTATTTCAGCACAGACCTGCAGGCAAACACTGTGGAACACCTAAAAACATTTGCAGCCATTTAAGTTTATACTAGAAAGTACAAAAAAAAAGAGGATTTCACTTAATTTGATTTCTATTTGCTGCATTTTGTTTGATTCTTGTGATCTTGTCAAAGGTGAAACTGTGGAATCTCAAAAGTAGCTTAAAGTAAAATCATTCATCCCACCGAAGATATATTCAGACAGGGTGCAAATAACTCGTTGCTCCCATTTAGTGCTGTGGGAAGCAGGGAATGTCTAATTTGAGAGAACGAGCGTGCTTAAGTTATTACTGCAGAAAGGCAATCTGTCAAAGGCAGGCTGTTTTGGCATGTCGCATACCACTGCTGAGATCATAGAGTCAGATTCTGCTTGCAATTACCGCCGAAGGACCTTGGGTACAGGCAGGCGGCCATTAATCCTCCTTCTGGCCCCGCACATTCTGACATGTCAAAATCCTCACTGTCCTCCGCACAACGACTCAGGGGAAAGAAAAAAAAAAAAGAATGAAATTAAAAATCCACCCGAGCAGCCAAAACCACAAAAGTGGAGTAATCGACGCCATCATTAGTTTAATTAGGTTCCTTTAAGTCGGCAGTATGTTATTATGACTTACTTTGTCCTGTATGAATGTTATGTGGGGAGAGGAGACCACTGACATTTGCTTGATTAAGAGTTTATTAGAAAGTGGAGGGGGACAAAAAGAAGAGTCCCAGTTGTGAAGTGAGTGGTAGTTTGTTTGTTGTTTTTAATTATTATATTTTACAGCAAGAAAACCTGACAATCTCAAAGGTTTGTAGCATAGGTAAATCTTGTTGGCCTTTCTCTTGTTTTTCAAAATGAACTAAAACTTTGCATCTCATACAAAACAAAAATCACTTGCAGTCACACCATCAATGCACTTTCACATCCACAAGGATGATGTTGGTGTCCACCACCATTTTGAAGTCTGTCATTGTGTTTTGTTCCAGAAAAATAATGTATGGCTTTCTTGTAGAAAAAAAAAAAAAGTTAAGGAAGTAAACAGAGACCAGATATTCAAGTTATATCCACTTAAATAAAAAAAAGAAACCTCTGTGAAGAATGAAACTATGTTAACTGAGAGCCTCAATCCCTTGTTTAAGGTAGCTGTTGAAGTAACTTCTCCAGTTTGGGCGTCAGTAGCCCAAGTGGTCTAATGACCACAGGCACTGTAGTTGCCTTCCCCTGTCAGGCTTTCTGCAGCTCCTCCCTGAGCCCTTGGTTTTTCTCCACCTTCCTGATGTTTCAGTCATGTGGCTGTCAGTTGGTTGACCATTACCACTTCCGCTTGTAAAATTCGCAATTCAGTACATGCTTCAGTTTTAAAGTCACAGTCTGGTATAATTTTGGTTAAAGCAAGAAAGAAAAAAAAAAAAGTAGCCACTTTGGAACTGACTTGTGATTTGGTTGGATTTTCTTTAATTGATAAAGTATAGCCATTGCATGGATGAACAGATGGATGGATGGATGGATGGAAAACAATAAAACCATGTACTTTGGAGTTGTTTTGATAAATAGACAACACAGTGTAAGGTCACAAATTCACCCTAAATGATTTTCATGGATAATGAATCTGGTTGATTTATGATCATTAATACAATTTAAAGTAGCTTAAAATCACTATGCCTACTTACAAAAACTATACATTTAGTAACTTATGAATAAATGAAAAACAAGATTGTCAAAATCCAGTTGACATTCCGTGAACTATGGCATTACCCTTATTGTCACGCCTTCAAATATCTGCGTGTTGTGTCATGGTATGTCTAAGCATCTGTGTGCAATTGGAATGACTAGCATGACTGCCGTGCAGATGGTCACAGGATGTGACCACCTCAGATCTCCTGTTCCCATCCATCCACCACTAACTAGCTCCTTTGACACTCTGTGCACACCACCTGTCCTGTCCTAATCACATGATCATCACCATTTTGAAAATAACACAAAAATGAGATGAACAGATTCATTGCACCAAATCCAAGAACTTTTGACCTTTTTGCAGCAGGCCGGGTGTCACGAGTTTGTCCTCTTGATATCACTCTTTGAAATCTTAATGTCCAACTGCCCTGCGTCATGGCCCCCCGCTCAACCGCTAAATCAGATTTATAACTACTGTCAAAGCCAGGAATGAAAGATAGATTAATCTCCCCCTCACAAGTTTACATCTTGGGCATCTGGACTGCTGATCTTGCCCTAACAAGCACAGAGGTCTTGGTGAGCTGTCTTTTAATGTTGATGTGTTTATGTCCAGAGATGAATGGTGCTGTCAAAGGAATCTATTTATACAGCAGTTATATGGCAGTGCCACCAGATCCAGGACATTTCACTTCCCCGAGACGGACACCAGCATCTGTTATAGGAAGTCAGCAAATAGCACTTTCTTCTTGGTTTGGAGAGCTGTCAAGGTACGCTTTGCATCTGTTACTGTCAATTACAAAAAAAAAAGAAAGAAAGAAAACTGCTGACACTGTACATATGTTTTTTTTCTCTATCTAGTGCAAAATCATGACCCAAATCAGACATTAGAAAAATAAACTTGTCAGTCATACAGTGTCCATAAAAAGTATTGGATGTTTTACTTTTTTCAAAATTTTCCAAAAAATACGCCTTAGCGTTCAAGTGAAAACTGCTTCCTACAAAATAATGACAATAATTGAGAGGATAAATATTCACCCCCTTTAAAGTGGCTGACCTATTTAAACAGAAGTCCAGCCAATTGGCAATAGTAGCTTCACACTTAGTAAAATACCAATAACCTGAGTGCAGCGACTCGAGTGTCTGGAGGAGTTTTCCAACAAAGAACAAAGTATAATTTCCAGAGCGTCAAAAGATCAAGATTATTCCTCTAATGTTAATTGGATAAATAGTAATAGCTTTCATTATGGGTTACTTCCAAAGGTTTAAAATCATAACTTGTCCTTCACCGTTTTTCTACTCGTACCAGAAAGAAAACATGAAGACAAACACAACGGAATGTGCAATTTAAAGGGGATCGCAAAAGGATATCTGTTCAACAAAGCCACCTCAGACTTTTATCTCTCCTGACCTCCTCCATGACCCTTCATACTACATTTTCTTCTTCTTTTTTTTTTGTTTACACTGAGACCAATGGTAAAGCATCCTGAGTGCAGTACTGTGTTCTTATCTCGACTAATCTCTCCTGGATCATCCATAAACCTCACTTTATTAGCTCATGCACAAGGATCATCCATGTGGAATTAGAGCAAAAAGAAATTAACCAATGTAACTTTATTCAGATGTTCTGAAGGCAAACGCACAGCGATGTTGTTGAAATTTACTTTGAAAACCGTTTCTTATTATCCGTGAGGCATGAGAGGTTCAGGCTCAATGGATGCCAGGTGATCCCTGATGGGGGTGGAGGTGGTCCTGCTTCACACAAAATCAATTCTGGCCTTTGGTGTTGGCAAGACAGCAGGGTAGGGGGGCAAAGAGAGGTGGGGGGGAAACACATGTCTGATA